TGTTAAAGGGAAAAACTATTTGGGCTGGAAGATAAGAGGGTTGCTTGGGCGGAAAATAAAGGTGACAAAAATCCCAGCCCAATTTTTACCGTCCAAATGGGCTTAAAACAAATGGAACTATTGTCAACCTTTTACTACCTTTGTCTGCCACGATATGAACTCATTAATTTTTTATTTATTTATTTTTTTTTATTTTCAGGCAGCTTTGTTGCAGCCTTTTTGAAGAATCTCGTGAGTCATTCTTTAGGGGTCCGTATTTTTTGTTTACTGATTAAATAAAACATATTAATAATGCATTTTTTATTATTGTAATTAATTAACATATTTAAAATAATAAAAATTTGTGCAATGTATTTTTTATACTAAATAATTTGTGCTTTTTATTTATTCATGTATTATAATTTTTTCTTTGCAATTTATATTAAAATGATACCATATAAATAATAATTTAACACAGCTCATTTTTCTACTATTCACCTGTGAACTCCAATCTTCTCTAATTAAATGCTCCGACCTCCGAAATACTCGACAAATGTCCCGCATGATATCGTGCCTGAATAGTCTACACGTCCCAACTCGATCCTCGTTAAATCGAAGTCACACGCGACCTTGCGGGGCCCACGTAAACGACTTTTCTTTTATTATCTTGACTAATATATAGTGCACCATCAACTCCAGCCTCTCCATATCAATGCTCGGGGCCTCGATATAATAAATAAACACCACGAATGGCCTCTTCTCTTCTCGTGCTTTCTAGAATGCACTCTTGCTAATGCTCGGCTCGCTTCACGAGGGTCGACGGGGTTGTTTAACACAACTCATTTTTATTATATTCACCCGTGAACTCCAATCTTTTCTAATTAAATGCTCGAACCTCCGAAATACTCGACAAATATCTCGCATGACATCGTGCCTGAATGGTCTACACGTCCCAACTCGATCCTCGTTAAACCAAAGTCACACGCGACCTTGCGGGGCCCACGTAAACGGTCTTTCTTTAATTATTGTTCTCCAAAAAATAACTTGAAGTAAGTTACATTGGAACATTATTATTGTTATTATTATTATTATTATTATTATTATTATTATTATTATTATTATTATTATTATTATTATTATTATTATTGTTGTTGTTGTTGTTAATACCAAATTTGGTCT